TAGTTTTTGGGTACAAGCACAATATCACATCCATTTATTTTGAATGGATAACTCAAAACGGCTACCGCATGGTGCTCTGCATATAATAAAAAGGGAATTTAGGGTTGCGTGGTAAACTATAAACTATTACATTTCTTCCCTAGAAGATAACTATCTCAAATGGAACATTATCCTGTTGTAGAATGATAATTTAGCTACCAACATGGAACATTTCCATGCAGTAGAATTCTCTGCCTAGACAAATGTATTATTATTTATTATTACAATTATAGCTTTTGGAGGTTTAACCTATTGTTGGTTTCTCTGGTAACTTCTCTCTCTTAAATAATGGATGTTGGCAAATTGGATTTTAAAAAGGCAAAATAATATTAGAATTGGAGCTGTCAGAGATGCACAAGGGAAACTGTGTTTTAATGCTTAGGAATTTGGCAAAGTCTTTATATTATGAATTTTTATATTGATATATTTTCTATTTTATTTTATTAATACTATTGTCTAATACAAGTTTGCTATGGTCTTTGGCTAGAACAATAAACTTAGGAACTGAACAGTTATAGTTCATCATCCCCCCACCCCCCAGGAGTTTAAATTGCATTTAAGCCTCACAATTCCCCAGTGAAGTAGGTTAGGCTGAAAGGTGCTGACTGACCAAAAGCCATCCAGTAACTTTAAGTTTTCAAATCCCCATATATTCATAGTCTCCCACATCCTTCCTCAACACTATAACTATAAACTACATTCTCTAATATGTAAAGGACCTGGTTGGGTTAAAGTTTGCTTGGCCAAAGGGTGCAGTTTTAAAATAAAATAAAATAAAATAAAATAAATAGTTGGCAGCTTTAAACAATTGTTTGTAAATGTGTTCTTTCTAAATAGTATGCTGAAATGGTTTTATAAATAATTCAAGGAAGGTGGCCTAGATCGCCTTTAATATACCTTCAGCTTCTGTTTCTGTGGTTTTTTTTGTATATTGTAGAATATATTGAGGCTGTAGACCTGAATTCACCTGGATTCTTGGAAGATCTGTTGGTTTCCATAAGATTTATGAACATGAACACAGGTTCTGGATTGAAGCCTTAGGTGGTATATTTTATTGGACCCACTTTTGCTAATGAAATTGTGAAGCCGTTTTATCGGTACACCCATTCTTGGTTCAATAAAAGATGTTGCAATCTACTGTATATCTATTAAAGCCTGTAGCAGACTTCGCAGGTTGAGAGTACTTTTATTTGAAGAAAGTTCCTGTTAAGCATATTCTACCCATACAAGATTTGTTCCAATAGCAATACCATTAAAATCACATACATCAGCGTATGTTAAATAGAATATCATAAAAATACGCTGCACAGTATTCTTTTCCCCCATGCAAATAACCAGAAATTAGAAGTTGCATTTTGGAGATTTTCCTCTTTCACATTTTTAAATCTAGTAGAGACCAGTAGTGAAAGTTTTAGCTGATTAGTTCAAACTAACACATCAGATACAGCCTTATATATTAGTTCCTGGCCCACAACAGCTAGAGTTCCTTGGCTTGTTTACTCCTTCCCTATCAATACCACCTAATCTATTGCATGTCCAGTTTGGGTATCCTTAGGCCCAATGTATACAAAGACTAGCTCTCATTTCTTACTGGCCATTCCTTTTAACTATTGTGTATTAAATTTCGCCAAGACCAAAATCCTGAGCCAAATCAGGCCTACTTGGAGGAATCTGGAGGTTAGTCAAGTTGGGATGGCCCCAAATTGCTACAGGTCAGGTTTAGTTTCCCCTGTCCCCTGAACAGGTCTTAGGAAGGTGAGGCAGGCAGGAGTCAGAAATGTCAATCATGTGTATTTATATGTCTAACAAAAGCCCTTTTAGAAACTTCTTTGAACATTGGAGCAGTTTAGGACAGATTGGGGCTTTGATCAGATTATACCAATAGTTTATCAGATGCACTGGCTCCCAGTCTGTTTCTATGCCCATTCAAACCTGGGTCCCAAATTACCTGAAAGATTGGCACTACCTGTTGATCGCCACCCAAATGTTAACCTCCTATCAGAGATTCCACTTTGCAGCAGGAATAGGGGACCTCAGGGCTAAAAGTTGAATGGCCAGGTTCACCCAGGTTTCTAAACCTGTATTTTAAAATGAACACCATGTCTTTATTTTTTTTTAAAAAATGTGCTTAAAAATGCCTTGTGCCCTCTCTCGTTTACTGTAGTTCTAAGATGATCTGCAGATTGTTTTATTTTGTTTCTGCTAGGCAACATTTTATGTTGTTCATACTGAGTTTTTTAAAAAAAAATCACACACACACACAAACACACACACACACACACACACACACATATATTGCATGAATTTTATATTTTATAAGTCACCTAGGGAAAGTAATTGATGGATGGTATCAATATTATTATTAATAATAACTGTAGGGATTATGATTGTGTCCTTCTGGGTCCAGGAGGCTATAAGAAAAAATCATCTTTCTTGAAAGAGACTGTGAACAAGTTGATTCAGAAGAAACAAAACCAAGGCCTGAAAGATGTCAACTTTTTTTTTCAATTGCTTGATATCCATGGGGCAATATTTGTTCTCACAGTCTTATGTCAGAAACTTTCATAACCGAGGTAGAATAAGGATTCAAGGTGATATGAGCATGGTTAACACAAGCCATCATTCAACCATATTTGCACAGGTCTATTTGAGGTAAAGGCCAAATACAAATGTTCCTTGAAGCCTATAAAACAAGTACAGATGGGAAATTATCTAAATTGCATCAGTTCTGAATACCATCAGAGCAAACATACGCTGTTAGCAAAGTCAATGTTCATGGAGAGGAACAGGAATATTTGCATCCGGCTTTGGGCAGCGCTTCAATACCAAGCAAGTTCCTACAAATTGTCAATTATGATGACAGTGATTTTACGCAATGTGAAATAATTTGACCCAGATGAGATAAGAGCATCAATTCTCCAACATATCAATGAAAAACACAACTTCCTTTCATGTACCACTGGCTGAATCGGTCTGCATTTTGGCATTTCATATTATATATTTCATCAAGTAGAATCTGAATTTCAAGTATGAACAGTTTTTAAAAGGGCTCTCTACTGGAGAAACAATGATTAATTACTCTATTATTAGTTTTTAGTTCAGGTAAGAGACTAAGATGGGAGCGGGGAGAGAGAGAGAGAAGGAAGTCTGTGTCTATAGCTAGGTGGCATGACCTCAATAACTAATTTGACGATGTTCTAATTATTACTTCATTATTTTTTATTTCCACCCTTCTTTTCTCTTTAGAAAACACACACTGACACACGAATGCTAAAACAGACAATAAAAAAGCCAAATCTGCAAACAGTACGATATGCCTAACGAAAACATCAGCCAATTAAAACATCAGCCTCTTTAATTAAAAAGCAGCATGCCACAGATCAACAGACTACAATCATACACTAAAAGCACACTGAAAAACATATTTCTTAAAAGAAGTCTCAAAAACAGAAGAGATGGGGTTGGATAATACATGCCAGTGGCAGCTGAACTTAAAGCGTACATGCCTTTGCTTGTATCAGTATAACTGTGGTAATTTTAAAGCTGTTACAATGAACAGTGACCTCCATGGGGAAGGGTACACATGTATCACAACATAGAAAAAGAGGATGCAGTATGGGCTTGCATATAGTTGCCTAAGTCGCCATTAAAGTATTAGCCTTCAGTGTCCCTTCCAGAAAACTCCAAAATATGTACAATACTGTTTTGATGGAGTGTGCACCATAATGGGAGTGGTCAAAATTCTGCCAAAGCTATATCACAACTCAGTGCCCTGAGAATCCTTTGGTGATGAAAGATGCTTTATCAAACCAAATTGCCTCCTGGTCTATATGTAGTAGGAGAAGGTCCAACACAGCATTAACCTTTTCTTCTTGCCTGCAGAAGACACGTAGCAGTGTTGTCATTTTTCGAAATATATATTTTTTAGCGAATGGGAGTTGAAAGGCCCTCCCTATGGAATGTCCAGGTTCAATTTTTCAGGCTAGCCTGGGAAATGCTGCAATTTCCCCCCGGTTATGTCTCTCTTTGTTTTCTGTTCTTGCCCTTATAAAAAGGGGATTTGGTGTATGCCACCTTTATTGGAATGGGAGGCCGCTGCCAAACACAGCCAAATAAAAGCAGTGTGCCAGCTATTTGCTTTTTGTTCCCTACTGATATAGTCCTCAGAGCAGCAAATAAAATACTGTCCTGATCAGGAATTTAATTGCACTCACTTTTCTTGCTATGTGTATGCTCTTGGCAGAATGACAACCCTTTCTGTTCACCATTCCTCCACCTTGCCTGTGATTTGACATCCACCTATAAAACCAAAGCAAACCATATTAGCTGGAGTGAAACTTTCCCCTCTTGCTTCTTTAGTGAAATGATATAAAAGCATGCTTCAGTATTTTTTATACTTTTAGCACAGTGCATGAATCCTGCAATTTTTATTCAGAGAGGTGGGCTGTTGCTCAGCATTTCAAATGCTGGCAGAAATCCTTATTTGCCCATGTGCTTCACAGGATGACATTGGGCCAGTCAGCATCTATTAGCCTAACTAAATTTGTTACATGTGTAGGAGCATGTGTGTGTGTGTTCATTCACTTCACACATTACTCTAAAACAGGAGGCAGGAACTTTTGCAGGAAAAGCAATCAAGTACTGTTCTGACGTATGTCTAACCTGTATTTATCCCCCCAGACATATAATCACACAAGATTTCTTTAAAAGAGTTTTTTTCCCTTGTAACAAAGAAAGAAAGAATGCATAGATTAATTTTGCAGTAATAGATGTGGGCAGCATATATAAAATCACTAGTGCTTAATACACGCACAGTCCTAAACTAGACAAATAAAAGACCCCAATTTTCTACAGAAATAAAGCAGGGCAGTTATGAAACCCAGAGAAAATGGAGAATGGTTGCAAAGCTTATGCCTGGAGTTGCTCTTGCAGCTTTCTTAAGGCCAAGCCTTATGCAGAACAGTTGAAGGAGCTGGGTATGTTTAGCTTGGAAAAGAGGAGACTGAGAAGGAAATAGGGTAGCCATCTTCAAATATCCCAGGGGCTGCAACATGGAAGAGAGAACAGGTTCATTTTCTCCTGCTCTGGTGGATAGGACTCAAACCAATGGCTCCACGTTGCAGGAAAGGAGATTCTGATTAGACATTCAAAAAAAGTTTCTGACAGTAAGAGCTGTTTGGCAGTGAGACAGTCTCCCTCAGGAGGTTGTGGACTCTCCTTCCTTGGAGGTTTTTAAGCAGAGGCTGGATGGCCATCTGCATGGGTACAGCCAGGATTTTTGTTGTGGTGGGGCAGAACCTCACTTACCTATGTATTTTTATTGATTCTAGCTGATATAAGGGGGGCAGTTGCCCCCCTTGGCTATGCTCATGGCCATCTGTCATGGATTCTTTAGCTGAGATTCCTGTATTGCAGGGCGTTGGACTAGATGATCCTTGGGTCTCTTCCAATTCTATGATGTATGTATAATAGTGTGCCTGGTAGGGAGTGTGTGTGTGTGTATGATAGAGAGTGTAAGTCTGCGGTACAGCCAACAACAGAAGTTAGGATCAGAAATTTCTGTGTTTACGCTCCCTCTTGGAACTCATAATCTCTGCCCAGTGCTGTTACTTTGAGTTTTGGGATGGCAGCCACAGGGCACTGCTTCTAGTAATGATTATGATGAAGCATGATGATGATAATGATGGCTGACTGAATAGACTAAAATCTATCCTTTTTGTAAGGCTTCAGTCTCATTAGTGTGTATGGAAACAAGAAAAGGTGCACTGATGTGGAAAAGAGAGTGAGGAGTTTGTAACTTTCCTGCCAGATGGGCTTCAAGATTATCAACTTGCCTACGTGCAGTATGTGTGCTGTAAACTCTTGCATTTGTGAGAAACAGGCTCTTCAAAGATGTCATAAACTATACCTGGGCTGACAGCAATGCACACTTGGAAGAAATTTGTTCTCTGAGGGGACTGATAATTACTAGTTTGGGAGCCTTTCTCAACAACGTTTCTGTTTCTGCCCGTGGTTATCAATACTGACCTCCTTGTAACTTCTGGAGTCAGGAAGTCTGATCCTGCAATCTACGTCACAAACAAGAGCGAGGGTCACAGAGGGACTGCTATAATGCAACACAAGCAAGATGGATGCCTTGTTTCATCACAGGGAACCAAGGAGAAGTCAGGTCAAGCGTCCTTCTATCACAACCTCAAGGGGATGTTTTGAAGATAGAATGAGAGGGGAACGACTAGCGACACTGCCTTGATCTTCTTGGATAAAAACATAGCTGGGAAAGTTCCATTCCATACTACTGCCTCATGTTGGGTTGGAGGGAACTAATTTGGCTGACAAAGTGAAAAGGGGAACTCCAGTTGCAGATTTTCAGAACCAAACTAGGCATGATGTTAAATATCTCATTATTACCAGTGATTCCTCTTGCCTTCATCCCCAAAAATTAGTGACAGAAGGGGGATTTTTTCCTCACGACCCAAACAGAAGAGGAAAGGGTTAAATTCCTTCTGTGCTCCTGCTCTGTTCCTATTAATTATCACCTCCTCCCCTCAACTGATGCAAATTTGTAGTAAAAACATGCACTTCCAAGATGCAAAAGTCATAATTAGGCTGGGCTTCCGCCTGTTGACTCCTGTAGCATTTGATGGAATAGACCCTAGTTTGCAAAAGCCTATGCCATTTTCTTTTATGAAAAGAGTTAGCCTTTAAGGTGATACAGGACTCTTTGCTGTTGTTTTTCAAGTGCATGAGTAAACTGAAAGGAAATCAGTTAGGCATTTAAATTAAGTCCTCCTAGCACCCCCAGGGGCTTAAGTAGATAGATGATATTGCTCTTCAGTCTTCATTTTAGCCACTAGATTGGTTATGAAAAAGGAAAAGCTGTCACTAGCAGAAAACAAAGAAGACCTCTGGGTACAGCTATTAGCAAAGGTAGGATACATTGCTACAATAATCTGAATTAATCAAGTAAAGCATTGTGAATAAGTTGTTAAAAGAGTTTAATAAATGAAGCAGAGGGCTTGAGACCTAGTCTGGTGCTGCAGAGAGAATCAAGTAAGTAGGGTGGCCACTTACACATTACGAAAAAAGGAGGACCAAAGTGGATACCAATTTGCATATTCTAATTTATATGTATAAATATGAATTTAGAAAAGATTGCTGGGCTTTAAATACTACATGTCTTGCCATATTGGGAAACACTATGACCAGTTGACCGGTATGTTGCTGTGTCTGTTTTCCAGGTGCTTGCTATTGATGGGCAATTTCAAAGCCCCCTTGCTGTCCCTTCTTAATGTTAAATATCTCTGCAGTAGATATGTCTGGACTCTCCTCTGTAATATAGCACATAATCTACCTCAGAATAAGACATATCCATACCTCCCAACTCCCTTTGAAGTATGAAGAAATAACATATCCGTTTACCAAAGAATTTTGGCTAAAAAGCAAAATGCAATGTGAATATATACTATGGAAGTATGAATGTATAGCTCTTTTCACCAAAAACGCCTTGTGCATAGGATTTTTCTTCTTTTTATCCAAAACAGGCCTATATTTATGTCATTCCCATTGCAGCTTCTTATTTAGTGCATGTCTGTGTGTGGGCATAGTTTTGGAGTGAGGTGGAATTCTTCCATGGTGCCCCAGAACCTAAGTGTTTTAATATCCACATTTATTTGTTTTACCAAGCAGTAGTTTCTGTGGGAGACGCAGGATTTTCAAAGCACTCTGCAAAGATATTGTACAGTGGTACCTCTGGTTAAGAACTTAATTTGTTCCAGAGGTCCGTTCTTAACCTGAAACTGTTCTTAATCTGAGGTACCACTTTAGCTAATGGGGCCTCCTTCTGCTGCCGCCGCTGCTGCTGCTGCGCAATTTCTGTTCTCATCCTGAAGCAAAGTTCTTAACCCGAGGTACTATTTCTGGGTTAGCGGAGTCTGTAACCTGAAGCGTCTGTAACCTGAGGTACCACTGTATATGGGTAAATCCTTTGGGATAAAAATAGTATGGCATTGAAATAAATGGATACTAAATGACAAATCAGGATCCTTCTAAACCTTTGGAAGAAATAAAGGCTCTTCTAGGATAAGAGCCCCCCCCCAAAAAAAAATGTCAAGAGCTAAATAGATCTTGCCAGTCAAATCAATTTGGTAACTATACCTAACTAGACAGATATTTATGTATTGGAACACACATTTGTAGGATTCAAGTGGGATTAAATCATATAAAGCACCAGTAAGACTATGATAATTTAGCTATAGAAAAATTATCTAAACCCACAATCAACATTTGATGGCTTGAGTTTATTGTGAAAAGAACCACATAACTCTTGAGGCATTGTTCATTTCAGAGGTGCTTTCTTTTGTTTTACACATTTTCTATGATGCTGCTGTCACTTTATGTAAAGTGACAGAGCTTTTACGCAGGAAAAAAAATTACTGTCATTAGGATATTGCTTGAGGGGTAAGACATTGTCTCATTACTTGTAGGTGGAAAGTGAGCTGATATTTTGCTTTTCATGCATCTGGAGCATAAACCTCAAGCTAAATGCCATTAGTTCCAGCAATCAAAATGACTACATCTTGCTGGGACAAAGAACAATGGAAATAAATAAATATTGTAGACTCCCAGTTGCAGGGGAGTTCTCACTTTGGAAGATCAGCAAAGTCACTGCCGGTACAAAGTGGCCATAAGTTAAGAATAGATACACTGGGGATGAAAAGCTTTGAATCTGCAATAGCTGAAATTGGGTTTAATTGCATTAGCTATGGTATGTAGACATTATATGATGCAACACCTTAGTTAACATAGATGTACCCAAGTGTGAGAAAAGCGAAAAGAGACAGAAAGCTACATCTATTATACACTCTTAGTCTGCAGTCCTATATACACACTTACTAGAGAGTATCCTATTGAAATGAGCAGTTCTTTCTTCTGAACAAGCATGCAAAGGTTTGCACTGCACATATGTTAGTTACTATTTTTTGAGAGTGCTGAAGTCATAAGAATATGCTTCAGGGAAAGTAATAAAAGAAGCAATTTGGAGAGGGCTAGATCATTTTGCTGCTTTAAAAGTACAATGGGAACTGACCATTTCCTCCCTGAAAATTGGAAATCATTGTACAAGGAATATAATGGCAATATGTTAAGACTTTGTGGGACATTCTACCAGCGAAGGCTTGTCAGAAGGTCAGAGGTAAAGAATATATATGAAGTTATGAAGTTAGATATTAACAACTGAAGATTTATGGGGCCATTTTCAGGTTAAGGCCATATTCTTCTCCTTCCTTGGCTATCCTGCCCCATCTCCAGCCTATACCTTGTTTCCCTGCTTTTCTCATCTGTTCATCCTCATTCCCACTAAATGCAAACAGCTTCTTTGTGAGGCTTTCCTCCAGATCCTTTTTCTCCTTGACATCTTGTTCCATCACATTTCAAATATCATACATGGGGGCTGTAAGCTGCACAATGGGACTTCCTTTCCCTCTCTCCTTCTCACACTGTCCCCATATCTGTTCTAGGATATATCCATTTGGAGCATATTTTGGGGGAGGCGAGGGCACATGGAGACAGGAGAGAGAGTTGAAGCTCTATTGCGCAGGTGGAAGTCCTTATGCTGGCAGGTGACCTCATTATATGCAACTCTGTGAGTGACATTCATTTAAGTGGTATTCAATTATGTTTTACTCCGAGCAGACCCATCAAAATGAATGAAGGTAAGTCAGGTCCATAAATTTGGATGGGTCTACTCTGAGTAAGACTTAATTGACTACCACCCTAGGTTTGTGAGGGGATGGTGGATAGTTGTAGATATTCAGAGAAAGATTCTACAGAGTGACATTTGGGAATGGGGAGAAGGGGGGAAATCAGAAATTATCTCAGAGAATTTCAACTAGGCTCTAGCGCCTCATGAAGTGTGGAGCTTTCCTAACCATTTTAATATAGTCCATTGATATTTTCATTAATGGTACTCAAGCTCTGGAACATTCTCTCCCACCAGCCTCAAGAATTGGCTGGTGCTGACACCTTGGCTACCTTTCAGAACCATCTGAAGACCTCCCCTTTTGTCAGATGTATGGATAATAAGATCTTTGGCCTGTGCAGTGCAATGGAGCTTTTCTTGATGAGGATGTTTACACTGATAGATTTAACATTGTAT